GACCATGTTCAACGGGTAATTGGAATAATCTGTGAGCTGTCATACCATTTACATTAAATGTTGCCATACCAATAGGTGCTGTTATAGCAGTATCTTTGTTGAGTTTTTGTTTTATCCAACATTTAATTGTTTGAATCAAGAAACTTTTGTCAGTACCTCCTTCTCCGCTAACGTATAACCGTAGTATTTCTTTATCTGATGATATAGTATCAGTGACTCTATTAAATACTCTTCTTTGATCCGCATTCAATTTTGAAATCATTTCAGATACATCGATTTCCTGTTTGTCACCAAGATCTTTAAAATCTTGCATCGCATCACCAGCTTGAATAATATTTTGTACACCTATTGGATTATCGGGATCATCTTGAGACGTATTCTGTTTTTCTAAATCCTCTAAATGTTGTTGAAGTAATTGCTTTGCAGTTTCAAATGCATTCTTCAGTTCGTCTAATTTTTCATGATACTCCAATGCTTTTTCAAGGTGTAATTTGTTATTGTGAAATGATTCTGCATAAGTATCATATCCATTTTTAAGATCTTGTATGTTCCGCCGCGGTTTGAACATAAGGAGTAACGAAAAGAAATACTTTTCTGGTTGCGTATTGACATCATATCTGTAGTGATTAATAAGACATTCGCGCTGTCGCTGTTTCAAATAATAACCATTATCTATTTTATAATACATTAATTTTTTACTTTTTTGTTTGACTTTTGTTACGTCGTGCCATTGTACAAATTCATACAAAGACATTGTTTCAATTTCTTCAGGTCTATTCGGATAATGACTATCTATTACTGATGGACAAAATATATCAGTAGAATCTCTATCAAGAGCTTCAATTTCCTTACAGCTTTTGACTTTTCTGTATCGTATCTGATTAACGTCTAGCCATTTAATAGTTGTATTTCTATCAGTTCTATGTAAAGGTATACCTAATAAAGTATCAGCTGCTTCAAGAGCTCCACATTCTCTATTATTAGTGAGTCGCAAAGCAAAATTCCAAAAATAATTCGCCATCGATTTGTTCTTATCATTTGTACTATTAAGGACAGAATCGGATAACTCACATTTTGCTGCTTTATTCAAATACTTAGTAATATAATACGTAAGTAACCTTGAGTTGGCACCAATAAATTGTATATCCATATTTCCTTCCCAAACAGTAAGAATAATTCGATTATAATCATTAATATTCTGTTCATCATCTGTTCGCGGAAGATCATAAAGTCTACTTTTGTATTTCAATTGTTTTCTACCTGCTATCGAAGTTACAATATCTCTCAAAATCAACGTATCGGTAGAAGGACGAGGAAAATCAAAACGACATACACGATAAACTTTACGCC